TCGGAGAAGGGACTAATGATCCCACCATACTGAGGCATAGTCGATAACTCAAGGGTGGCCAACTTGAGCTTTTTCTCTTCACTATAGTTGTGATAGTTGAAATGCGATCTACCTTCCGCTCCCACTCGAGGTAGGCGTCGGGGTCATTCTTCCTTAAAAGGCTAGTATCTAGAACTTTAATCATGGAGGTCCCCATCCGCCTCTTCGCGACGATCTCCATGTCTGTCACCAACGTCATCGCCATAAGATCCTATTTCATCTCGCACTATTTGGCGTCAGGCGTAATTGCAGTGTTGTCGCGCTCTTAGCGATCCATGTAGGTAGCTATGTTTCCTAATTGGACACTTAACTTGGTGAACATGTCCAGGACCCTTTCTTCCATGGTGGTTAGTCAACTGTTGGCGCTTTGTTGAGACATTGCAGAGTTCCTAAAAAGACAAGAGTTAGTGAAAACAATATCTCTCCCTTACCTTCGCTCGTGTTCACCTCGTAATCTCTCCATTGACAGCTTTGTCTATCAAGTTGAGTGTTCAAAATCGAAATCACTTGAATTGGGTTTACACATTAGTCCTTATGACACAACAAGGAACCCTAAAAGACCTGATTTCTATTGAAGCTCATAAACAAGCACACATAAAAAGAAATGGTGTTCCTCTTATATGTTAAGCAACTAGTATAGATTAGTCACTTAATTTTATAAAGGAACAAATATAAAATAAAAGAAAGAAACATAGATCACAAAGATTGACCAGACAGACTGATGCATAGGGATTCGATTAATCTCAATGGATATAATCGACATGTGTACCTTGTATGATACCCACAATTTGTTGGCTACATGCTACAACCGGTCAAGTTTCTTTATAACATTGATGCAAGATTATAGAAATGTAATTCTAAAATTAAACGTGGATAATGTGCAGAATGAAAATAAAAATTTTCGCTTGCACCCGTTAGATGAGGTACTTTACCTTCGATTTCTTAAAGGATTTCCAGTCACCAATCAGGCGACTATTCTACTTTTATTATGCAGGATGCAAACAATATGTCAATTACCTTATAGGGTACATTTGGGATATTTTTATAATTGTTGATACATATAATTTTTTTAATAATAAATACGAACTACTTCATTTGAATAGATAGATATGAATTCATGCAAGATGCAATACAAATTAAGAAATCAAAAATTAATTTGAATTGTTAATTAGAGAACAAAAATGCTAAAAGTAATAAAGATAGATTTGGTTTCTAAGAGCTTAAGCTCTGATACTAGATGATATAGGAAGGTATGGAGAGGATCAAATCAACTCCTATAACCCACTCAACATTATGCAATATCGAAACTTTAACCACCTAGATAAACCCCTCACTCTAATTGAATCTATAATCCTAAAAGAAATGAAAAAACAAAGATTAGGAAAAATAAACAAAGAAAGAAAAAATGTCACAGATTTACTGATAAATTGATCTGTACTCATTGGCTCAACAAGACTTCTAAAGACTCCTGCTCATCAAAGAACTTGAAAAAGCTAAATTAGCAAAAATATTAAGAAAAGTCTAAGCTTTAAAGAATTCTCTAAAATTGATTGCAATTGGTGTGTTCACAACATATGAGTAAAGACCTATTTACAGTTCCCAGACAATCTAAATGAGTATAAAATTCTTAAATAAAATAATAAAATAATATCTTAGATAAAATTCTATCTAATTTTAAGATAATTACATAACAAAATATTTATTTTATCTCATCTAAATATAAATCAATTAATTAAAATAATCATAGGAATATAATTTACATTAAAATAATATTTAAAATAAGATAAGACTTATCACATGTGATTTTCATGTAAAACAAATGAGAAAAATTAATTTAGGTTTGTGGGATTTTAATTTAAAATATGAGTAATTAAAAAGTGGGTCCCAAAGCCTTTTAAAAAAATAAATTGAAAAATTAAAAATAACTTAATTAATTAAAAGGTAGAGAACAGGTCGGGTGGGTTTAGGCAACTCGGGCGAGTAGGTCTGCACAGGTCGCGGGTCGCGTGCTAGGTTGGTTCTGGGCTCGTCCATACGGGTCACACGCGCTTGACCCCTTGGGTCAACGCGCGCACAACTGTTTCTGCAAGCAGGCCTAGCAGGCCACGAACATGAGCATTGTTGTGTGCTCATGTGCACGGTTCGTGCTGGCACGCGTGAGCGTACACGTGCTTGAGGTGTGCGAGTTGGGCCACATGCCTGGTGCAATTGTAGGTCGCCTCGCTCACGCGTGGACCTTTGTGTCCAAGCGCCGAAGAATTTGCCTGCCTCCAGTTTTCCTATGAGGTATAAGGTCATTTCGATTGGTTCATCACGGGATCTTAGAATACTGGTGGACATGGGAGGGCAAGTATCATGTATGTGCATTGCAACACATGTGTACTCTATAGGTACCCATACCCAAACTACATTCGGGCTTTCTTCTTGGGTCAGGATTTTCGGACCGAGTCGTTCCTTAGCAATAAGGTTCATTACCCTCTGGGTTTTTGGCACCTTCTAACGTCGTTTCTTCCTAGGCTGGGATTTCTATTTGGTGGATTCGACCTCGCTATTTGATACTTAATCGAAAATAGAGTAGCCTGGCGTATTGTTACCTCGCAATTATGTTCTCTCATTTTTCGAAAGCTCATCAGTACTAGTCTACTTCTTGTCTTCCATTGGTTTAGGCTTATTTTTAGCGAGTATCGTGTCACATGAATATCCTGTTCGAGGTCAGCCAATAAACGTACTCTCTTGTTATATCATTGTGCTCAAGAATATGTTTTACCATCATCTATGAAACTCGAAGTGAACATTTTAAATTTTAAAGTAAAAGATGTGATATTTTCTTTTATTTTCACATTTCAAAACTCTACAGATACTAAAATACTTTGTGAATAAATAAGTGGTGGCAATGCTAAACTCATCTCACTTGTGCAGTTATTTTAATTTATAGGGCATTCTAGCTCAGGATTAATTTGGTGGCATAAATTTTTAAAGAATTCTCATGTAATTGAATTAGAGAAGTTTAAGAACTTGCATCCCATGTAATTGTCATGAACCCTCTCCAAAGTGATGCATGTAGCGATCTTAGAAGCTTCTCGAACCGCACAGAACCTGATGAGTGGCAAGAGTACACATAAGAATTGGACAGATCAATTTGTTATTGGAAAGAAACTTGAATTGAAGCTTAGTGAAAACTGCAATAAATTCTTGCTTGCCTTCTTATAGATATTTTGTATTTAAGGAAGTCAATCTGGTTCCTTTAGTGGAACAATATAGAAGAATCTCTTTGGTCTTCAAAAGTTTAGCTGAAAAATTGTACAAGCTAGAATATGAAACTAAGTCAGAAAAAGCTCTCTCAACATAACTGCAACCAAGCCAGATTATGGGTTCTTTGGCCTCTGCGTGAAGAAGGGAAGAAACTGAAACGAAAAAAATAGATAAGAGAAGGATAAAAAATATGGTCTGGGAGCCTTAGGCTTGGGTTTGAATGGGGAGAAAAAGTGGGAAAATAAAAAGAAAAGAGAACAGATTGGGGCTTCAGGAAGCTCAGCTCAAATGAAAGAAAAAGAAAACATAAGAAAAGAAGATAAAGAAAAAAAAGGGAAAGAAGAAAGAAAGAGAAACAAAAATCATAAATATATAAGATAATTACGCATTATAATCATAATTATACATTATAATTATATTTATATATATTTAGAAATAAAATAAATTAAAAAAATGAAATGAAATAAAAATGAGGAACTAGATTCAAGGATATTTTTTGGTACTTTTGTATATTTTTATTCTAATTTTAATTAATTAAATCTCCGGAAAAAAAAAAAAAAAAAAAGAATGTGACAGTATGTCAAAGTATAAATTGTAAATATAATCGCATACATGCCATTTTGTCAAATTTTGATTTCTGAACATATATATTATAATATGTCAAGTCGGTCAAAGTAAAAGATAAATAGATGTTTCTTTCTTTTCACTAAATGCAACAATCTAAATCTCATTTCTTCATTAAATCCAATTATCTATATCTTTTAGAAAAATTAACATAAAATGGAAGCAAAATATTAATTTTAAAGTTAATCTTAAATTTTCAGGTTTTGTTAATAATTTAGTATGAATTATTGGAAATATATATACCCGTTAAAGTTAATAAGAAAGAATTAGTAATATAAAATAAATCTTAAAGTAAAATAATTCTATAGTTTAATTAAATTATAATTTAAAGAAAATATATATTTGTCATAAGTGTAACTCCATACAAATATTATAAAATTAAATGTAGTGAGAATATAGATTTATAAATAAATAATATTAAATGTAGAAATTTGTTTATCATTTTAAGTAACAAGATATGGAAACTTTAAATTTGTGCATTCTAAACTGCATACTTCTAATTTTAAATATAGTTTTTATATGAAGAATATTGGATACATTGTATAAGTAATTTTGTTGAATAAGTTTGCCCTATCTCGTTTCCTGTTTTAGATGAGTGGAAGATATAATTCTAATAGAAATATTAATTTTACAATAAGTGTTATTTTATTTGAGTTATATATATATATATTCTTAACATTTACTCTAAATTAAGATTCATTCATATCCCCAAAAGACAAACGCTATAACATTCAACATCAAGCATTCGATGACGGAAGTATGCAATATTTACATTATTTTCATAATTAAACATCTTGGAACAATAAGAGATAAAGATTAATTCTTGATCAACCCTATCTCCTGCATCCTTGATAATGCTTTCTCAAATTGGCTCCATTTCTGCTCCAACGTGCCAATATAGCCGATTGACATTCGAACTAGACCCGGAGAAATTCCAGCAAGGGACTTTTCTTGTGCATTCATTTCGCTACTAGTACTACTACCAGAGCAAGACATCAATGTCTCATAATACCCCAAACTGACTGCCATGAACCCAAATTGTGTGTAGTTTTGCAAATGGTTCATCAATCGGTTTGCTCTTTCCTCAGTTTCCATATCAATGCATAAGAGTCCGCCAAAACCATAGCCTTTATTTGCCAATGATTTTAAGAGATCATGTTGTGGGTGGTCCTCAAGTCCAGGGTATATAACCTTTAGACCTAGTTTTTTTATTTTGGTTGCATATACCAAGGCCCTCTCGGAATGCTCCTTCATTCTCAACCCTAAGTGAGGAAGCCTCTCTGATAGTTCAAATGCCACTTTTGCATTCATTGTCGGTCCTAAAAGCATAAGAGCTCCCTGGTGAAGATCCATCATTGAATTCACTAACTCCTCAGGCCCACATATTGCTCCTGAAATTGTTTGATATTGTACGTTATAATTAAAGTAAGAATGATATTCTAATTTCAAATCAATTTCATATACATTTCAAGTTTGATATTTAGCAGTTTATAAATAGAAATATAAATATAATGGTACAAAATTAAAAATGTGTAGAATTAACTGTATCTTTTTCTGATGTTAAGACTATAAAACAACCCACCTAAGCCAAATAAAAAGTCCACAAATTGAAGTTTGGAGTTTGGAAGACCTAAACTTTGAGTTTCTTGAAAATATGTATTAAAAGAACACCCTCACATAATAAACTTCTGAAGTAACTAAAACTATTACCCTTTCATTTTCAATTATTACGGTTCAAATTTATTATAATTTCATTTAATGTTAAATTTTAAATTTTTTATATTTAGAATTCAATTATTTATGGTTTTAACGTATTATTAAATTATATTTATTCACTAATTAAATCAATTTCCATTTTTAATGTCTAAAGAACAAAAATTACGAAATTACCTACCTTAATAATTTAATAATAAGTTAGTTCAAATTAAAATATCACCTTTGTTTAAATTATATTCTATTTTTATAAAATTAAATTTAAACAAAACTTAACCTTCATCTTTTCCTACGTAATTAAAACAGTAACCGCCGTTATTATTTTCCTTTTTTTTTTTTTTTTTTTTTTTTTGAAGAAAAGTAACCGCCGTTATTCATTTATGTTAGGATGAACTTGCAGACGTGGTTAATTGTACGCCTTGAACTGTAACCGACGTGGCATTCACGACACGTGTACGGTAAATAAATCTCAGCAGAAAAAGAAAATCATACGTACCTGCAATGATATCGGCCCCACCGCTGATGAACTTTGAGATGCTGTGGACTACCACGTCAGCACCCAGCCTCGCAGGAGACAACACCATGGGAGCAAAAGTGTTATCCACCACAACGGCGACACTCTTTTCGTGTGCTATCCGACTGAGAGCCGGCACGTCAGCGACGGTAAGGGTAGGGTTGGACATAGACTCGAAGTACAGAACCTTCGTCCTACCCTCAATAATGGCGTTCTTCACCATCTCGTGATCGCCTATGTCCACGAACGACGTCGTTATGTTGCAAGCTCTCGGCAGAAAGTGCGTTAACAGCGCGTGGGTCCCACCGTATAGAGTTCTCGACGCCACCACGTGTCCTCCGCTGCTGCAGAGCTGCATCATCACCGATGATATCGCAGACATACCTGTCATCACCACCGTACAATCATTATAATCTCTCCGCTAAATCATTTGACCAAAACGAAAAAAGAAAAAAAGAGATCAGAAGAGAAGAGAACCGCTGGCAGTGCAATAGGCGGCTTCGGTTCCTTCGAGTGCGGCCATTTGTCGGCCAAGGTTAAGGACGGTCGGGTTAAAATGACGACTGTAGATGAAAAAGTCTCGGTCGGGACCAAGCTCGCCAGCGAACATCCGGCGCATGGTGTCTGGCTCCATGACGGTGAAGGTGGCGGAAGCCTCGATCGACATGTTGACGCCGCCGTGCTCGCCGAACTCGTGTCGAGCGCTGGCTAGCGCAGCGGCAGGATCCTCCCACGCTTGTTTGGCCGACATTTTTTTCCTAGTCATCATGTGGTCCTCGCCGTCAAACTGATCATCTTTCCCAGTTCGCTTCTTGGCGGGGAAAGCGTAAGAATGGGTCTTGATCTCTGCGGACATGATTATGATCAGAAGAAAGAGATGGATGAAACGAGGGTTTGAAGAACGATTGAAATCAAAGAGAGAGAGAAGAAGAGAAGTGATGGATGAAAACTGGGGGCAAAATTCTATATATAGAGAGCTAAAAGCCAGGAAATGAACGAGAATTTTGGTCAATTGGGGATCTAATCTGGTGAAAAAGTAAATGTGAATTTTCCCAATTTTAACAGTGGATTAATAATTACCGAAGCCTGCAAGAATTTTCAGGTGGTTCCGGCTGTATTTTTACCTTCTTTTATCCTATAATTCAATTACCATATTCTACACCTTTTCCTACGTTATTTGATAATGGAAAAAATGAATGCTAATGGTTTAATATGACTTTTTTCAGTAAAGAAATAATTAATTATATTAGATATTTTTAAAAATACAGAAAAAATATTACATGTGTAACAGCCCGTGAATTTGAAAAGAAATAAATTATAAATTGAATATGAAAGTGAAATAAATAGTTAGGGTTTACATTTCTTACACAATAATTCAGATTATCTAATAAAGTTACGAGAATGACCATTTTAAAAGAAATAACGAAAATTAAATAAATAATAAACAACTGTGCATCTTATTCGCAATTCTCTTGTGCATCGGGCTCTGAATCTTTGTCCTCTTAATCTAAAATAGTTAATAAAAGAGTGAGTTATACTATCCCAGTAAGAATATCACGCTATTCACTAACACAGAAATGAAGGTTGGTAAAAATTATAAAAACAACTAATGAAACTCTTAATTTAAGTAAATTCGTTTATCATAAATAAATTTATTTACCGTATATTTACCGTAGTGAGATTTTCAAAACAAATCTATAGAGGCAATAACATGAATAATATCATAATCTCATATGCAATCAGTCGGCAACAACAACTTTCTCTTTTATCAACCTACTGGTATCCATGGGGATCCATAGGGATGTTCCCACTACGCGTGAATCCTTTTTTTTTTAACATTTTCAATTAACGGCCCGTCCCTGTACCCCGTCTGGTATGAGTACCAAAATACCATCGCTCAATACCCCGTCCGACATGAGGGTGAAACGGGCCATCCCCATACCCCGTCCAATATAAGCGCCAAAAATACTTATCATCGATACCCTGTCCGGTATGAGGCAGCGTTCACGGTAAGGTTTTCTATGTATCAAGTCCGTTCACCATCTCTTAGGATATCCAGTTAGGCTACCGTTCATCCATTTACTTAATCAAACAATTTTTCCGTTTATTTTTTTTTTAATTTTTCAATTTAATTGTAATGACGTAAAACAAGCAATACATGCATTAAAGAAACACAATCGCATCGTCATACCAATTCTAGTGTATTATCATTCGCAACTATAAAATCAACCAATCAGCTAAATACGACAAACAGTAATAAATAATCAGTTCTGCCTCCATTAATGACCTTTAATTAATTATGAATATTTTTTAAACTACACAAAATACCGTATTATTATTAATTAAACTTCAATTCCATAACAGAGAAGGTGAGAGATTCTTACCCAAATTGGTGTCCGAATGCTAAACTTTTGGTTGTGTTTATTGGCAGTTCCCGAGTTCTCTGAATTTTTTCTCAGGGATTAAAACACGCTTTAAGTACCTAAAAATACTCCAAAAAATTCAAAATCAGTGTTAGAAACCCTTTTTGGCCAATTCTAAAATTCTATCGCGGTGACTCCGCCGTGCTCCAGCGACAGTACCACCGTCTACGACGGCAGTTTGCCTCAGGTTGGCCGTTTTCGGCCAATTTCAGCCGATTTTGTACCCATCCCTGTGATAAAACATGTTGAGGGGCCTCTGTTGGCACAAAAAAGTCAAAAAATTGAAGCTTACCGGTGACAGAATTTTTCGGTGCGGCGGCTCTACCGGCTCACCTTCACGGTTGAGTGTTTTGCTCCGATCAACCTGTAGAGAAAGAAATTGTGATTACAATGGTGAAAAAGTTACACGAAACGGGAATCGATAAGGGCATCATTAGAGGCGATCTTTGCTTTTTTCTACGGCAGCGCCGCCGGATTTTACCCGCAGTTTTCAGCTCATCCGCAGGTCCTTTTACTCCAATTTGGCTATGGGGGTGTTCAAAATTGAATTTCGAGCGAATGAAAATTTTTTTACTCCTTTTGAAGGTCAAAAGTGGTCCGGCACTACAGTAGGCAGCAGTCAACTTTCCCGGCGACTAGCTCTTCTTCTCTGGTGGGGGGGGTATGGCAGCGAGGGTTAGGGTTCGGTGTGAAGAGGGTTATTTATAT